TTGCGTGGTTATGAAGTAGGAAGATTAAATCTCAGAGTAATTCATAACTCTTTTGACCCTGATTGAGGGCGCGCAAACGTTTAATCGAAACTCGCTCAGCGACGGGCTGTTTTTAGGCGTTAAAAACAAAACCGTTGATAACAAAGAGCTCTTATAGTGAGGGAAGGAGATGAGAGACAGAAATGGAGAACTCATCGTACCTGGAACTCTATAATCAATTAAATGACCCGGTTCGTGGTTAAGAATGGCGGGGGAAAAAAAACTAACAAGTTTTTGAGTGATATGTTTTTACAGCATCGGGTCTCAGTTCATTCCTAACAGGTTTACGGCCTTTTGTAGCTCCTTGTTTGGTGGTAATTTGTCGTAATGCAGTTAAGTTTATGCAGCACCATTGTCCTAACCAGACGTTGTGTTGTTAAACAGTTGAAAATCCAACAAATTTAATTAAGACCTCAAACATCCCAGAGTGCTTTGGAGAGTTGTGTAAGTGTAGGTGTGTTGACTGTCTTGTGACTCTTTACGTCATTTCTCTGCTGTTTTCTAAATTCCAGCTTTATCAGTGCGTCACCATGACCCTCAGACCAAACAGACATGTTCCTGAGTGCTGTTATTAGAAATCCATTGTGCTGAATGGTTTCACGTTTCATCTTGCAACCCATCTCATTAATCTTCATAAGCTCCACTTCCTTGTATACTGATGCAACATCTCACAATCTTTTCAATGCAGCATTGAACATATCCCTATAAATTTACGGATCACAGCTGAATCATTAAGAGGCTGTCTTCCCTGCTCATGATTAACTTTTATTGTCCAGAGTTTGCGAGTTTGCATCCTGTCAATGCCATTACATAATTACATAATTAAAGAGAATAAAATGCAGTCGGGAGCTGCTGGGTGGCAGTAGCGATGTGGAGGTTTTTGAAGCTTTGATGTTTCTTCTTTCAGGTTCCCAAAGCTGGTGAAAACTTTATAAAGCTGTGTAAGAAAAGCTACTACGATGGAACCATCTTTCACCGCTCCATTAGAAACTTCATGGTAAGAAATTGAGCAGAAAGCGGACCACATATTAATTTAATGTGTTGTGGATTCCGCATCTTAAGTCACTGGTGCTTTGTAAAAACGTGTTTTTATGCGTCCATGACACATCATAAAACAGAATGTCTGTGTTTCAGTTTCAGATTATTCAAGCGTCGAACCCACTTAACCGTTAGAGACCTAATCTCGGGGGGGAACTAATTTTACCTAATGCACCTTTAAATACAGATACTGGATTTTCAATATTGCCAAAACATCAACAATGCATACAGTAACTGTTAGAGGTATAGAACAAATGATCATGCATACCTCCGAACGTGGTAGAGGGTCTTATACTCCAGAAAATGTTCTGTTGTGGCCTCTCTGGCTGAGTCTGTGACAGCTGTAAGGTTATTTAGACTCATTTAAATAGATCATAATCTGTGATGCATTCATTAGGAACTCCTGCATTTAGAATATTTTTTTTTGAATTCTCTGAATGATCATGTTCTGTTTTCTAGATTCAGGGCGGAGACCCGACAGGCACTGGTACAGGTAATGACATGCTTCTGAAATCTTACACACTCACGGACTGTTTAGAAGGTACACCTACCCCAGAGGCAGGGATGGAAAGTCATTACAGGATTTAAGCACATGGTTCACTGTCACTGTACTCTTTTTTTTTTTTTTTTTTTTTTTTTTTTTTTTTTTTTTTTTTTTTTTTTTTTTTTTTTTTTTTTTTTTTTTTTTTTTTTTTTTTTTTTTTAAATATATAGTAAAAATTCAATAAGAGTGCTTTTAGCTGAGTGTTTAAAAAAAATTTTTTTTTTTGTTGCTACATTTATTTTTTTATTACACTGTTTAAAAAAAAAAAAAAAGTGCCGAAAAAAACATTAAACCCCAGAAGACTGTAAGTCAATTAAAGACACCGGGCCTCATTTATCAATCTTTCAGTAAAGCTGTGTGTAATTGTTTGCGTAAGGCGTCCCAAAATAAACTTTTCCCGAGGATTTACAAATGTTTTGGAAGCACTGATGTTCTTTGTACTCGTGCGCATATGCTGATCACCTGTACAGTGTAAAGCGTGTTCCTGATGCAGCTCATTTGCATATAGTGACGCCCACAAAGCTCCATAAAAGTTCAGGTGTACAGATAGAAGGAGCACGAAATGAGCGGTCAGGGTAAAGGCTGAAAGGCAGGAGTGGAAGTTATTTTGACTCACTTCAATGTCAATGAAAATATTTAATAATAATAATAATAATAATAATAAGCGACTGCTAAATCTTCTGTCAGCTGAGGCGTTTGTTTATGGCTTACAGCCATATCTTTTGTCACAACTGAATGATTAGTTTTATTTGTCTTAATTTATGGGTTTGTGTTGGTTCGCTTTCTTTATTTTGCGTATTCTTTAATTAATTAAACTTTCTCTATGGTGCACTTAGTCCCTGACCTAGTGATCTAGCATGAGGATGTGTTTTTGATAGAGACTCCAAAGCTCTTCTGTAAGTCACACTGTACAAGGGCATGTGCTGATTGCTTTAAATGTAATAAAAATAGGAAATATAACTCCGACAGTATATTCCCGATATAAAAGTGCAGTAATCTGTGCAAATTATATAATTTGATATAAGGTTTACATTAGTTTAGTCTGTTTTTTAATGCGGAAATTTACCCACACTTAGGAGCACGAGCAGGATATGAATAATTGTTCTCGAAGTTATGGGATTTTTATGAAAGAATCTATTTGTATCCAGATAGATAAATATATAATTCAGTTGAATTTATGTAATTCATTTTCAAAATAAAGCAGTTTCCTGCCAGAAGTCTGCACTACAGGTGCCAATTTATCAGCTATCTTCAGTTTTAAATGCTTTAAAGTAAATATCATGATAATGATCTGCAAGTTATGCAAACCAAAACCTGTGGAGATATTGGCATTTTTCACGGCTCAACATCCAACCTGCTAGCTGGCCGAGTGTGCTAGACTAGCTAACCCGATTTTACTGTTTAATAGTGTGAGAGCTCTATAATTAAACTTGAGATGTCACGTTGATGATTTGCCTGGTGTTAAATACAGCCTATAGGTAACACTCAGGACAGTGTGTAAGGGGCGTTGTTGCTGGGTGGGTAACTATGTAGCTAGAAACATGTGTGAATTAACACGAGGTAGCTAGCTAATGAGCCTAGTAAGCTGCTGAAATCTCAGAGAGTATATGGTTATGTTAGCTAGTCAGCTAAGTTATATAATGTGGAGGTGATGTTCACTTCAGCATAGCTTACTTGGTTAGTTAACATATGTACAGACTAGAAAGTAGAGTTTATGTGATTAGTTGTCAGTTGTAGACGTATGTAAAAGTGATTGTAAAGTAATTGCTCAAGTAGTTTTCCACCAGAAAACTTGTTTACTGTTACCTGAGTAATCTGCTGCTATGCACAACGTGTCCGTGCTCGTCTATCCTGTCCATCAGGTGCCACAATAGGAGCAATTCTGAGCAGATAGCTCTCAACACAGCAGTGGCTCTGATATAGTAGTGCGTGTGGTGCTGCTACGAGTGGATCAGATAGTTTGAGAAACAGTCCATCAACCAAAAATCCTCATGCAATAACAGTGCCTTTGGCTGCTAGTGTATGGACCTGTGTGTGAAGATTGTAGCCCAAAACTTGGTTACCTCTGTCAGGCAGAAGATGAATGTTTCGGAAAGATAATGAATGACCTCAGGCTCTGATTTTGAACTCTACTGAAAACATAACGGTCCGATTTGAAGAAAGTGCAAATACCTGAGAATATAAAGTGATTAAAAATGGTCCGAGATACAGTCCGGGGTGCCAATATTTTTTGGGAAAAAGCTTAAGAATATGTGGGTGTGGAAATACGATGTTAAAATAAACCTATCCAACATGCCCATATGTTTACATTTAGATTATGGTTCATCGCAAGTGTTCTTAGTCAACTCCATAAGTATTGGCACCCTTTGCGGAAAATGTCTGGTCAGAGGTGGTTTCTTTCTGTTCATGGTCAGCTTGAGTGGAGCTTATCCAGACTGACCGTTCAGTTCGGAAAAGTGTGTTCCATGTCAGGCTCTTAGAAAGATGTCACATCTGTGCCTAAATATCAGACGTGTGTGTGTGTGCGCGCGCGCTATTGATATTAACTCGGGCCATTTTGCTTATGGATCAATTATGAAGTGTATCATTGCCCGAGATTAATTTTACAAGGTGCTGAAGTGGCTGCTGACTAAACATTTAAGGATCGCAGAGGATTAAAAGCCTATTTAATTACGCCATGCCTCCGAGTCAAGAAGGATTTTAAGGTGCTGGTGTTGAGGGTGTGTTGCACTGCGCTAATTGTAGGACTGTTTCAGGAGGCTGTAAAAAATTGCATCTTGTCCATGGCAGTGCAATAAAGGAGGGAGGTTACAGTGCTTAAGCTTTAATTACAGACATGATGCAGAAGCGCAGTCTCAGAAAACCGTACACTATATATAGAGTGAGCATCATTAAAAATGCACCAGCTAGGAGAAAAAGAAATGAAACAGTTAGAGATGGAAAAACAATTGCTTGTTTTTTCAGCGTTGAATATTACCATTTTTCGTTCTCTGGTCTGTCTGAGAGTACGGCTCATGAGTATTCTCACACTTCTTTGAGCACATGCTGCTGTAAGTGAGAGCTTCACACGTTCAGTAGAGCTGCAGCAGTTTTTTTCCCCCCTGATGCTGAATATATTACACCAGAATTATAAATAAATATCACACTATCAAATTATAAACAGTTTTTATTGCACTGCTGACTCCTGATAACAAAGCTCACTGGAGAGTGGTACGTCTATTTTTTTTATTTTTTTTTTGCCCGTTGTTAGATGCTGTAACTTGTACAGCAAAGTTTATATATATATATATATATATCAGTTATTGCTTAAGTATAATTTTAAAGGTTTATTTATTTAGAGATCACCATCCAGTTTATTAGGAATACCTGTGACTATTAGGCAGTCGTGGCCTAATGGTTAGAGAGTTGGACTTGGACCCTGAAGGTCGTGGGTTCAAGTCTCAGGTCCGGCAGGGATTGTAGGTGGGGGGAGTGAATGACCAGCGAGGTGAGACCCTTGAGCAAGGCATCGAACCCCCAGCTGCCCACTGCTCCGTGTGTGTGTGTGTGTGTGTTCACTACTGTGTGTGTGCACTTGGATGAGTTAAATGCAGAGCACAAATTCCGAGTATGGCTCACCATACTTGGCCATGTCACGTCACTTAACTTGCACATCCATGCAGTTTTTTTTTCATCAGCCAATCGTTTGTCAGCAGTACAGTGTATAAAATGATGCGCAGTCAAGGTCAAGAGCTTCAGTCAACGTTCACATGAAACAATGAGGAAAATGTGACCGTGACTTTGAGCGTGACATGCCTGTTGGTGCCAGACAGGCTGAGACTTTGAGTATTTCAGAAATTGCTGATCATCTGGGATTTTCACACAAAACAGTCTCTCGACTTTACACAGAAATGTGTGAAAAACAAAAACTACTAACCTGGCTTACATACTGAGAATAATGTATTTTTGGGGGAAAAAAAGAAACTAAATTGAAGCTAGCTGCCAAAATGAACATAATGACCAAACGCTGTTTTATGGATAATTCTTAATATGAATAAATATGTAAGGAATCACACGTGACCATCTGTGCGGTTATATGAAATAACCTACGCTGGGGTGGTGTGATGCGGCACAGTGCGAAGTGGAGTTACATAAACTCCTCTATCCTCAACACTTTCCCATGCTGGGAAACTTTACTAAGCACTGTGACTGTTAAAAACCACTGACTGTTACTCCTTCCATAAATGTTAAATAAATGTCTCCTAACCAAAAAAAAAAAACTTCACCACATCAATGATTATACATTTCTCTTTGTTAAAGAACAAAAGGTTTTTTTTATTATTAGTCTTCGATTGTGTGGCACATGTGCTGTACAAGACCCTGTGAACTAGACATAATTATTAGTGCAGCTAATTAATGCTACGCCCAAATCTCACCCTACCGTCTGTAACTGAAAGGAAACTTTTTGGCTCTTTTTGTTTAATAGATAAAAGCTACACTTTTCCTTGTATGGAAAATCAAAATTGTCAGATAGTCCCTACCAAGTTATTAAAAACTTGCCCACACACAGGAAGCACACACAGGCAGGTTGGCAGTTGATGCAGGAGAGGTCACCTTGCCTTGGTAGGAGTCAGAAGAACTCTTCTCTCTGCTTCACTCTGTGTGTGTGTGTGTGTGTGTGTGTGTGTGTGTGTGTGTGTGTGTGTGTGTGTGTGTGTGTGTGTATTTGTTTCCAAATATTCATGTTGTGTTGCGTAACAGAGTTGCAGTGTGCAGGATTGTGTGCTTTAAATGGTGTCTGGCCGTATTCTTAGCTTTGGCACTTTAATCCAGCTTAGTCTGTTTAAACGTCTAACCTGTGCTGCAGGAGTTAAGACGCCAAAGTGCATTCTTTTTATAATTCCCTCATTGCTTGTTGGCAACAAAGTCTGTGTAATTGTCTTTCCTGACTCGTGTGTTGTTTACCCTCATGCCAGACGTCGTAACACTGCAGTCTCTACTAATGCTGCAGTCGAGGTGACATCATGTAATGACTGTCAGTCACTGTGGATGAACATTTAACCAGTCATCTAACTGCAGATTCACACGTACAAGCTGATATGAGCAAGTCATGAGCAAGAATGAACAACAGGCCTGTCGCGATAATTACGTTATCGACTTATCGGACGATATATGGACATGACCTCGGTCATTTTTGCTGACTTCGATATTGCCCATTGTGTTTGCATGCGTGTTTGTTTACTTAAGAATGAATGTCACCAGCATTCTAGCCATTTGTGCTGCTTCTGTCCTCGTCTACTCTAGGGCTGTCAAATTACAATTCGAACTTTGAATATTCACTGAACTTAAGATTTTTTTAAAAAATGCAACAATTTTTAATTAAAACACAATGTTGAAAAAATGACACGCAAGATATAAAATGCACTAACGTAAATCTAGAAAGATTAGTGTTTCAGATAATCCAGTCATAGTGAATAATGTCGGGGATTGATCCAATTAAGCTGCGTGAGCTGAAGCTGAACAGCGTATGAACACCAGTAAATCTGAAGTGCTTCACTAGCGGGTTAATTAACTCACCCAAATGCATCCTATACTCATATGAGATTAATCAGACATACACAACATAAACGTAATATACAACTTGTTTCTGCACAAAATGGCGTGAATGCACAAGTGAAACTGAACTTAAGTAACATGCTAGGTAGAATGGTCACGTTGTGAATACGCTGTAGGACTCGAGTCTGGTTTCAAGGTAGTGTCTATATTGAGTTGGACTTGTCTCAAACTTACAGGCATTGTACTTGGACTTGTCTTGATCTAGGGCATTGGTGTCGCTAAGTATGGTCTTGGTCTTGACTGAGAATAAAATAAATTTTCATGTTGTCTATTCACATGTACAGTGTTTGACAAGAAGTAATTCCTTCCTCCAGAAAACGGCCTAATCATTTGTTCAATGCACAATTGAAGCCAACTAGTTGAAGTAAAGAGTCGCTTGTGACTCCGTCTCACTTTCACTTTGGACTCGATCAGGACATGGCCTTGACCCTCTTAAGACAAGTTCTTGACTCAGTCTCAGCTAGTCCTGGTCCGGACTTGTCTTGGACTTGACAATGGCAGTCTTGCCTACGGCAGTCTTGACTACAGCAATACTTATTAATATGAAAACTGCATATGAAACAATGACCCAGGCTTTTGAACCAGCTTACTCCAACCCTCTAAATACAGAATTCCGGTTTCACTGGATAGTTGAAGTCAGACTTCTAGCTTTCCCTAGAGTGTCTTGTATTTTTTCATCGCTATACATAGCCAAGAACCACCTACTTTAACAAGATGAGGCTCTTTGACTAGCAGCCAGCCCTTAACCATTTCAAACAAATCTCTCTTGTAACTTTTAAAGATTTAAAAATGTTTGTTTTCCTGTCAAAAGCCAGTAGACAGAGAACCAGACAGTTTAAAACAAGATGCAAGATTCTGAAGCTTGTGACCAGATATGTGTACAAAATATATATCACTGTTTAAGAGTCTGAAGCTGAGACTAGGGCAGTTGTAGATCAGGTATTATTGTTCTAGTCTAAACTCTGTGTACCGCATCTTTAGTATATGCGCAACAGATGACGTTTTTTTAAACGTTTCCTCATACTGGGTCTAGAATGGAAAGTTGTTAACTGATGTCACTTGTAACAATGTATAGTGACAGCTGCCTTTATGCCTTGTTGATGTGTCGTGTCCAGGTATAGTGCCCAGGTTCTGATATAGCACAGCGCTGTTAACTTCTCACCTCTCATCCAGCTGCACAGCAAATCACAGGTTTATATTAATACACTGGTTCACATTTTATCATTTCTATAGTAACAGCTAGTTCACAGATTTTAAAAGAGTATAATCTTCGAAATCTCCTTGTAAGGAGATATTTCTTCAGTATTTATGGATGGAGTCTCTGTTGCAAGCGCTTTGGAACAGTCAGAGGTAAAGCTGTAACTTTAGGGACAGAGGGCTTTGCACTTTACATTTTTTTTCAGTAACTTGACAAGCTGCAGTTATGTCTCATGAACCTTGAGAGAGTTGTGGGTTGTTTTGTGTGTGTGTGTGTGTGTGTGTGTGTGTGTGTGTGTGTGTGTGTGTGTGAGTGAGTTTCTTGCATAGGAAATGGTACTATAGCATAATTAATAATGCATAATTTGCATAAAATAAAATAAAAATAAAACCCATCCGTCAATTTAGATGTTGCCTGACACTGGATTGTGGCTCTGTGTAGATTGTGGAACTTGCATAAGAACTGAATAGTTGTGTGTGTGTGTCTTTGTTTCTTGACCGTGTCATCTCGGGGTTAATCGTGTGGATGGCCTGGTCATTCAGCTCTGAAGTCAGTGTATATATCGTGTGCACTTGCCTATAAAACCAATTCCTCTTCTTTGAGCTGTCTGTAAATAAGAGGAACTCGGAACAGATGTAACAACGCAACAAAACACATTATCACCCTCTCACATGTCTGTGTTTATTTGGTTATGTAATCGACAGTGTGAGAGCTCTGCTGCAGCTTGTTTTCTTGGCTTGTTTGATTTGCACTGACAGGGAACTTCATCCACTTCCTAGAACGTTTTCCCCTCCTTTTTTTTAATCAACTCTGTGGCATGGCGAGGGTAGGAAATGTCAACCAGGCCATAAATTATGCAGAAATATCACCGGAGTAATGTTTACGAGGGCAAGCGGCGTTTGAAAAGGCAGACCGGTGAGCGGTAAGCACGTCTCAGCGTGGTGCCGGCAGCTGCCGAGAGCGTCAGTGAGAGCCCGATCTCAGATCAGCTTCTTTATTAGGACATTATTGGATTTATTAGGCTGTGAAGGAGGGGGCGCTAATCAAAGGTCACAACGTGTTGAGGAGTTTATGTTGCAATAAGTGCGTTGCAGAAGTCTTGGCTAGTTTAGTTCTAACAGTGATTTAGGTGCAGAATTACTGGGTTATGAGCATGGACGCATGATCTCACTCTCTCTCTCTCTCACACACACACACACACACACACACACACACACACACACACACACACACACACACACACAGTGTCTTGCTGAGAGCTGGCCCTCCTGCTGAGCGTTTGATTGGGCTGCATGACGAGTTAATTAATCCACCTGCTTTGGGGGTCTTCAGGATGAGTTTATTTTGGTGGAAAACACACTGTGGGACGGTGTTCACTTCTCATCTGAAAAGCCCTAATTCAGAAGATTCCTAATTCAGTTAGCTTAACACAAAACCTGACTGATGGATCAATATTAAAATCTTATACCACAGCGGTTTGCCAATGCTAACAGTTTCTTTTTTATTAAAGAACAGCACGTTATTTGTTTTTTTTAATCCATTTATAGTTACATTTAATGGAACGCTTGTGAAACAAGTTTTAAACTCAACAGTCTCTCTCTCTTCATTCTTGAAGCTAATAAGACCATCAGGTTGTCATGTTCTGGGGAAAAAACGCAA